TAAATTCATAAATATTATTCATGGAAGATATATATACACACACAATAAAATCGTAATCAAACTTGAACACAATTCCAAAATTATAATCCGTTCAAATCACGTCTCACAACTAATAATAATATACAAACAATCAATGATGGACATAAATTAAAAATCATTAATTTTGTTTAATGAAAAATTTTGATGTTCTCTAACCAGTGCTTTGATACCACATGTAAAAAAATTTATGATGTTATGTATATACCAACTTTCATAATCTAAAATCGTGAACTATCGTGATTTTCACAAATAATGATATAATGCGAAAAATAAATAATATACCCTGATCAATTATGTGAAACCTTTGAGTGATCCAAAACGGATTGAACATAAATCTAATAACAATATTAGTGGAAAAATGTTTCCCTCTCTTAACCCTCTTTAGAATATGTTATATTTAGAATAATTGATGAGTGATCTAAATATGCTTTTATAAGTAGAGAGAGGACTCCACTTGCCCATCAAAGTAGGAGACTTGGAAACTAATTCATCTATTGACCAATAAGATAATAACTTAGGGTTCAAGATATGTAACTATAACCTTCTTAAATCTATAATTCATATTGTCATATCATGTAGGTCACCATAATGACCCACGGCAAGGCTCATACCAGCCATGGCAAACACAAACATAAGGACCCACGGCATTGACGGCAGGACTTTCGCGGAAGTTATCAAAGGGGACCAACCAAGACCTGCATCAAGAATAACCATCCGAGTAGCAGAGATAGGTAATGGTTGGTTATATGAGAGCCTAATTATGAGACTCAAAATGGGTCATTCTATTTTACAGGTGAAAAATGAACTCACCAAAAGAGGTGAACAAAATGTGATGGTCAGGGAAGGAGGAGGGCGGGATGTACTGCTATCATTCCCCAACAAGAAAGAACTGCAGAGTAAAAAACCTCTGTTTCTAGACTGGTTTCAAGAATGGTCTGAATATATTACCGAATGGAGATCGGGTATGCATTTTCAGCAAGAGAGACACGTCTGGGTTAATTGCTACGGAGTCCCTCCTAATCTTTGGAGCTCCAACACTTTCAAAGAGATAGCAAGATTATGGGGGGAGTTGGTCTCCTTAGATGGCCACATAAGTACACCCAGATCTTTTCGCTGTGGCAGATTTAGCATTATTACAAATGTTATGGATCCGATCACCACAAGCATCAACCTTGAATGCAACGGGAAAATTTACCCCATTAGAGTCTTTGAAGAGCAGTCCATTGAGGACAATAACTCAAGCTCCAACAAAACAGCTTTCAAGGATCCACTTGAAGCTGTTGGATCCAAAGTTAACGGTGCACCGCAAAACATCCAGCACAAGCACACAGAAGAAGAAGATGATGACAAGGCTGCTGAAGTGGCAGGTGAAGTGGTCGGAGAGCCTGATTTAACAAATGGAGTGGTGACATCTCGGTTGAAGGGCAAGGGTGAGCTGGCTGTAGAGGGCAGCTGGAGTAACACCTCAGCCGTAGCAGAGACCATTTTTTGTGTGGGAAATTCAAAAGATGTGGGTTTATGTGCTGCAGAATCATTTTAGGATCATGGTCTTGGTGTCAATTTTTCTCAATCACAACCTCGTTTTGTCATGGGTATTAATTATAATAAGGTAATATTAATGTTCAGTGATGTTTCTTTTGTTTTTAAAATTTTTTGGTTATTAATCTTTCTTTCTTTTTTTGTTTTTCGTCATGGGTATTAATTTAGGATCATCATCATGATATGTACATTTCTCCATCTCAACCTCGACCTCAAGTTCTTATGGGTGGTACAAGTGGTCCTCCTCTTACGTATGGTACATATGATGTGAGTTATAATTAGTGACATAGTTTACATTTAAATTGTAGTATACATTGTAATCGAAGTTGAATACATGGTTTGGTGTGTTGCAGGGGAATAACACGGCTCAGTCAATGCCTTCTGTGTACCCTACTCACAGATCTTTTTAGGGGTTGCTTCGAGGTACAAGTGTTGAAAACTTTGCAGTCCATCTCTCGCAAGCGTCACATAGTCCTGCTGACAGTCATGTAGATGGACATCCCTGAGAAGTTTATTTTATCTTCATTTGTTTTGGACAGATGTATTTTGTGTTGGACAGATTTGTAATGATATGGATAGACTTTGACAGTTTTCTTTTATTTTGGACAGATTTGGTGTCATGAATGTTGGACAGATTTGGTTGTGCTATTTTGTGTTGCACAGGTTTATAACGTTATGGACAAATTTTGAATGATATGGACATCCTATGGATAGTTTGCTTTTATTTTGGATAGATTTTTTGGTTTTGGACCCTTTTTTTTGGTTTTGGACAGGTTTATAATGATCTGCACAGATTTTTTGGTTTTGACTGATTTTTTGGTTTTGGACAGTTTTTTTTGGTTTTGGACAGATTTGGAGTGGTTTATAATGATCTGGTTTTTGGACAGATTTGGACAGGTTTATAATGATCTGCACAGATTTTTTGGTTTTGGACTGATTTTTTGGTTTTTGACAGTTTTTTTTTGGTTTTGGATAGATTTGAAGTGGTTTATAATGATCTGGATTTTGGACAGATTTGGACAGGTCTGTAATGATCTGCACAGATTTTTTGGTTTTGGACTGATTTTTTGGTTTTGGACAATTTTTTTTGGTTTTGGACAGATTTGGACAGGTTTATAATGATCTGCACAGATTTTTTGGTTTTGGACTAATTTTTTTGGTTTTGGACAGATTTGGTCTGGTTTATAATGATCTGGGTTTTGGACAGATTTGGACAAGTTTATAATGATCTGTACAGATTTTTTGGTTTTGGACTGATTTTGGACAGTTTTGGTTGTCTTATTTTGTGTTGCACAGGTTTATAATGTTGTGGACAGATTTTGGAATGATTTGGACAGATTTGGACAGTTTTTTTATTTATTTATTTTGGACAGGTTTTTTTTTTTTTTGGGCAGATTTGGTTTTGGACAGTGTTATTTTGTGTTGTCTGCACAGATGTGGATTCTGGACAGATTTGGATACATGTATACTGTTTTGGATAGATTCGGTTATGTTGTGGACAGATTTGGTTGTGTTATGTTGTGGACAGATTTGGTGAAGAACAAGTATGACCTGACCAATAATAATAATATAAAATAATGAAATCTGTCCACAACATTATAAAATAATGAGATCTGTCCACAACATTATAAAATAATGAAGTCGTCAAGCATAGGTAATTTCAGGTAACGTCATTGACAGAAACAAAAAAGAAGCGCATCACATTCGTCAAACGTAGGTAATTCCATTAAGCTTTACATATCAACATTCATAGTTTAAGGTCTACAACATTCAAAACCCAAATACATCTACCAAAAAAAAAAAAAAAAAAAAATACCAAAAAAATAACCAAAAGGTTACATTCACTTTAGTAGTGCTATTAGCATGGTAAAACCAATCAACACTATGGCTGTGAACATAAACAGTTTCATAGCTTCTTGGTTTGCTTCAACTCGTTCCAATTTATTTATAATTTGATTGAGTTTGTCAACATCATAATCATAGCCTCTCTCATCTTCATTCTTCATATGACTAGCTTTACTTTTCCTTTGGATATCTGATGCATTCCCAGTCGAAGCCGGTCTCCACCCAAAGAACTCGCACATCCTATTTGGACACTTGAAATACAGCCTCCCTGGATTTTTCTTTGATTCTGATATGAACACTGCTGTTTTTTTTCCACAATTGCATCTCTTATTTTGCAAATATCCACCATCAATGTTTGAACCCATTGACATTGACATGATCCTAGTAAGAGCATTTTCCACAATTACAATCAGTCCATTAAGACAACATTCAAACAAAGCTGTAAAATAAAGCACTAATCAATGATATAATAACCATTTGTCTAATAAACATTGTCATTTTCATGTTCATGTTAATTCTTAATGTTATTTTCATGTTCATGTTCATCCTAGTCATATACATAGTTCATGTTCATGTTCATCCTATACATAGTTCATGTTCAGTCCTAGATCATATCATAGTTCATATTCATGTTCATCCTAGTCATATACATAGTTCATGTTCATTCTTAGATCATATACATAGTTCATGTTCAAACCAGTAAAATAACAAACTGTTGTTTACATGCATTGCCATTATTCATGTTTTGTTTTACACAGGCAACTACCCTGTTTATTCATATTTTCAATAACCATTGTCAACATTCATGTTTTCTTCTGTTTTTTTTTTTACAATGGGACCAATATAGATCAAACAGTCTTGCTGAATCATGTATTGGTCTATATTGGTTCAATATTAAAATTCAACAAAGTTTATAAAAAAAAGGTTATTATGTTTCATGGTTTTCTTGCACTACATTTTCATGCTCACTTTAATATTTTCACTAATGGATCAATGCTATGTGTCAATGTTTTCTTGAAAATTCACACCTATACACTTTCTGTGACCTCAAGGTCTAAAATGCCGGCCATAACCCCAGCTGCCAATAAATTAGGCTCAATATGACTATGGTTAACCCATTTCTTGTGCAGCATAGACATACCAAACATGTGGAGGTGCCTATCATAACGATATGTGTCAATGTTTTGTCCGGAAATGATAAACCATCGAGTCATACCACCAAGTCATTCCATATGGTCATATAAGGTCCATATACATGGTATGACTCACTGGTATCTCTAGCATCACAGTTTTTTCTTCCACACGCTTGTGTGAGGTTTGATTCAAGTTACCCTTCAATCCATGTTCCTTCTTCATTTGCTATCACTACACTACCCCACCAATAATACACTGTCAAGCTCTGTTTTTGGATCTTGGATGTTTTGGATGTTTGGTTCAGTTTTCAGATTTTTTTTTAAAATTTTTTTCAAAAATACCAAAACTAAACAGGGCAGTCCTATTTGAATCATGTCACTATTTGATCTATATTGTTCTTGTGCCTCATTCTGTTGCCATATAAAAGGAAAAAAATTTGAATCATGTCTCTCTTAGATCAAACAGGGCAGTCTCTTGTCTCGGTATTCTATAATTTTATCAGCACTGTCCATGGAACATGTAATCATCCAATTCATCTGGTGTGGAACAAGCAACTCCCACCCAAAGTGCAATTTTTCAGTTGGCTCGCTTGGAAATACAAGTTAAAAACCTCTGTCTTCCTTCAGCGAATTGGTATCTTAGATGGGTCTGCCTCTACCCTATGCATATTCTGTCAAGAACAGCAGGAAACAGCAGAACATGTACTCATCTCCTGCCATCTGGTATGGAAAGTTTGGACTGGGTTGTTACAGTGGTGGGGGACTACTTGGGTTGTCCCAAATTCTGTCTCAAACCTGCTACTTTGGTGGTCAGGTTTTGATTGCAGAAAGTCCGAACGTCGAATATGGAATGCTATTCCTCTTGTAACTCTATGGTCCATCTGGAAACATAGGAACGAGTGTCTCTTCCAAGCATCTTCGCCAAATCTGCAGGAGCTGCAAGAGCTCATTGTCACCAGGATTGCCATTTGGTTGAAAGCTGCGTCCACGAAGCTCCACTTTTCGATCAATGATTTTCTGTACAACATCTCAGCTATTAGGCATTGCATCAACGAAGGTTAAGCTAGGGTGCTATCTGTTGATCAGCTTTGGATTCTGGGGTGTCTGCTGCATAGGAATGGATGCTTTGGAGTTTTGCCACTGCTGTATATTTTGCCGCGGCTGTGTATTTTGCCACTGTCTGATGTCTTGCCCCTGTCTGATGTGCCACGGCTGTGTGTTCTGGAGTTTTGACACTGCTGTGTGTTTTGCCTCGGTCTGCTGTTTGCCACTGCTGAGTTTTTGCCACTGTCCGGGGTGCCCGTATATGCTGAGTTTGTGCCACTGCTGGTTCTTCTATCTTCCTTACACATTGCTCTAAGTTGCTGTTTGCCACGGCTGGTTCTCTTCCTCTCTTTTTGTTTCCTTTGCTTCTGTTTGTTTTTCTCCTTTTGTTGGTTTCTCACCAACCGGAACTTTGAGCTTCTTCTAGCTCTGAGTTCCTCTTTATTGATGTCTCTCTCTTTTGTTTGATCCCATCAATAAAGATTTATTTTGCTGTTTCAAAAAAAAAAAAATGTAGGTCACCATAATGACTAAATAAATTTAGTCTTACACTAATAACTCAATTTCATTGCAATAAATACTAACCTGATGGGATTAATTAGTATGATGGAATCCCAACCTTGCTTCTTTAAGTTGATGGGATGACTAGTCCGAAGAACTTAAAATATTACCCCTACCATGATCTTGCTTCTTTATCGAGCAAAGTTTTGGATGCTTTTTTTTCTTTACAATTGTTTTTTCGGGCTGTGCTTCTTCGATATGGAAAATTATTCCATGTCATTTATTTTAATGTGTCCAAACAAATTTGCACTATATTTTGTCAATTTTTTAGGACATTGCAATTAATGACAACCAATGATTTCTCACTTGATAGCTTCATTTTATTTTATTTATTTATTTTGAACATATATGAGTACACAGTCCTTTTTATTTCAGGTTTTTTTTTTTTTTTTTTGGGTCTCTTAATCAGTTTTCCACTTATTGTACAATATATTAATTTTAGCCAAAAAAAAAAAAAATACACAAAAACAAAACAAAACAAAAGTGGTTACTGATTTGTTTCTCAAGTTTGATGTGTCAAGGATTCTATTCTTTTGTTTGTCTTCTCAAGTCACCTAAGAGGTATAAAGGAAAGGAATTTACTGATAGATACTGTACTTGTCAAAGTGTGCTCTAAGCATGGAATGCTTTCTTTTTGTTGAAAAAATAAAAAATAAAAACCCTAACTAATGTTTTCATAAAATGAGGTGTTTTATATTTGGATTATGGATTTGGTTGGCATTTGAAAAAAAGAAAATACTCAAATTCATTATCCAAATACAGCCTTACTATTTAAATAAATATTTGTAATTTTTTTTTTTGGACATTTTATTTTCTTTTATGTAAAATTTTTCTTTTTTCTTTTTCTTTTGCAGATGTAAAACAACTAATTAAGCTTTTGTAATTAACTTTAGTATGTAATTTTTTTCAATTGATAGTTTGGCTAAGCTACATAATTTTTTACTAGTAAAATATTCAATTTGGTAATATTTTATCAATTTTAATTTTAATTTTTTAGGCTTCTCTTTTATAGTTTTTAATATAGTTGAATACATCAATTGAAGTGGTTATTTTTCTTCTATATGTATAAATTCTTGAATACTTTTAAATTTTTAATTCAGAAAATAAATCTAAAATATCAATATAAAAAAATTTCATGTATCAAAAAACCTTCAAGATCAATAAGGCAATATTTCCCAAAATTTTGTCAATTCTACAAGATTGTTTTTAATAGATTTTGTTGTGTAGTCATTAATGTTCTCATTAAACCATTTCTTTTTGCAATTATGGTTTCATTCAAAATACAGGCTCTACTTCCATTCTATTTAAAATAATTTTGGATAAAATCATAGGAATTGAAAATTTATTTTTTCTATATTTTTGAAAACTATGTGTTTTACATGTTTACTAACAATATCAATTTGCATATTTTTTTTATTATTATTTGTAAAATTTTACCAATGGAACTGATGACAAATAATAAATCACCAAATCGTGTGCTCAATAAGAACTCAAAATTTTCAATCTTATATTGGTTAACAATTAGTTTGATTGCTGATTTTTTGAATTCCCAACTTTTTCCTAATTGTAACAAAACATAATTTATTTGCACAAAAAAACTGAAAATGTTGAAAATGCCCCTCATTTTTATTTTATACCAAAACAGTTTTTGATAGTTTGAAAATAATTTTTTGGTGTTTTCTAAAAAGTGGATTATTTTCATAAAAATTTCATGAAATCAATTTCCAAAAATAGTTTGTCAAACAATTTGTTGTGCTTTTCATAAAATACATTAAAAAATAAAAAAATAAAAATAGAACCCAGGTTGAACAAAATGTTATTTTACTTGTGAAAACTATTTGAAATCCTTTAAAAAAATTATAAAAAAAAATTCTTAATTTGACTCACAATGTGGGATAAGTGTCAATTTTTTATTTGTCACACTTTAATCATATAGAGTTCAATTCTATTACCACATCATTATAGATATAAAATGATGTCTCATCCATACCGTCACACCAACTCTTTAAGGCTTTTTTAGTAGCGTTTATAATTACAATTTTCTATTTTAATAATAAAATTTTTAAAAATTAAAAATAAAAACTCGTTTGGTTTCTAATTTGGTTTTTAAAAAGTTGTAAATATAAAATAAAATAAAATAAAGTTAATTTCACTTGCTTATCAAAAATTACTAAACCATTTTTTTTTTAACCACCACCCATTACTGATCACTACTGGCTACTATCGCCGTTAACTACCATCGCCAACCTCCTATCACCACTGCCAACCACCTCTCATCGATAGTAACCACCTTCGATCACCACCTCTTGTTGAAAATTATCTTAGGCAATTGACCAGCCACCATATCTGATCATCGACAATTAATTTCGGTCATCACGTGGCAATCAACCACCCCTGACCACCGATAACCACCTCTGGCCACTCTCTCCAACCGTTGGCAACTAATTTTTTTAAATTGTTTTCAAAATAAATTTTTAAAAAACTTGAATGCCAAATATATTTTTTGTTTGAAAAATTATTCAGTATACAATGCACACCATATGCAACTCTACACAAAATTACGTAAATTTTTACCAACTTACGTAAGTGATCTCATAAAAATACATAAATTGAACATAAATTCATATAATCACGTAAGTTTTCACAAACTTACACGAATTTATATATTTTTATGAGATTGTGAAAACTTGTGTAATTTTGAGTAAAGTTGCATACGATGTGTATTATATATTGGAGTATTTTCGTTTTTGTTCTTGTTTTTATTCAAAATAAACATAAACATATTCGGCATTTTTTATATAAATTAAAAAAATAAACTGTAAAGATTTATTTATTTATTTATTTTTATCGGCATATACTGTAAAGATTTATTTATTTATTTTTATTTTTTTATCGGCATATACGGTAAAGGTAATATTTAACAAATAGACAAAACGGGTAATTAGATTACACCCTGTTACAGAACCGATTCCATGGCCCTCTTTTTCTCTTCCTTCTTTCTCTTTCTCTTTTTCTTCTTGTTTGTCTTTATTCTATCAACATTGATTCATACCACTAAAAAAAAATCACTAATAACACTAATGCATTAAAAATGTCAAAATAAATAAATAAACAAGGCATGGGTAGTAGTGCTATTAGAACACCACTTTTAATGCTCCCAATCATTTTTCTTATTCTATACTTCCCTGCCTTTGTACTTTCCTCCTTTTAGTGTTTAATACGCTCATTGTCGATTATAAATTGAGTTTTCTTCTGATCATAATCTCTATCAACTTTTGCTTTCTGTTTTTTTTTTTATTTTTTTATTTTTCCCCTCAAAAATCGATTTGAAGGCAGAGGTTTGACTGTAATATTGTTTTCAGTATGTCCCCTTCTTCGGTTTGACACTATATCAACTGAAGTCACTGAGAAAGAAGCTTTCACCAAGTAAGTTTTTTTTTGTTTTGCTTTCTTGTTTTTTTTTTTTTTTTTGAGTTATAAAAAGTAATTTTTATTTGTATCTATTCAAAATCAAATGATACATGTTCTCTTTATGCCCGCTAGAATTTTTTGTTCTATGTTATCCACGTGTGGCCACCACTGGCAACAAAGTAGAGCTCCGATCATTTGGGTGGAAATATTTTTTAAAAGATAATTTTTTTTTATATTTTTTGACGTTTGATATAATCCAAAATAAAAGTTAACAAATAATATTGGAGAATTTTTTTTAAGATCTCTCATATTAAAATTTTATAACATAAAAGATATGAAATATTTTCATAATAATTAGAGACTTTTATTGGGTTTGAAAAGAAGGTCTAATTTTTAGTCTTGAATAGCGAGTGCTTTTTTTTATTATTATTTTTATTTTTATTTTATTAACAAAAGTAACTTTTTTTAATAATTTCTCAAACAAATTAAAGAAAAAAACACAAAAAGAGTCCACCCAAACGGCTCAATTGCTATCGAAAAACACATCTGCTTGGAATAGATCAATTAAACTTTTCACTTTGAGTTTGACCTAAATTTTACTTTAGCCTCTATACGTTCAATTTGAACAATGTGGTTCTATACTTTAAAACTAGTTTTAATTTAGTCATTTTATCTAATTTTTTGTTATTTTGTCTGTGTGTACACTTTAGAAAAACTAACTAGAATTTTAAAATTATTAATTTTAACCTCTAATTTAAACGGACGAACCAAATTAAAACTTTATAAAATTGACAAGTATTCTAAAATTGTTAATTTTAACCTCCAATTTAAACGGAAGACCAAGTTTTTATTATTAATTATTTCTATGTTAATAATTATAACAAAAGCATGACAATTAGTTTGTTTCAGGGAAGTCATGGGCACAAGAGAACTGGAAGAAAGAGTTGATGATCATGTCTCCATTAGTATTGTAGAAAAGTTTGCTAATTTATCTAATCCATCCTCTGAGTGTTGTATCTTCAGAATGTATGATCACTTACGAAAGGAAAATGAGAAAGCTTATGAACCGTCAATAGTTGCTATTGGTCCTTACCATCATGGTAAAGCTCACCTACAAGAAATGGAACTTCACAAATTACGGTACCTACGAAGGTTTCTGAGTCGAAGAAATGAGACGAGTGTGAATAGATATGTCATGGCCATAAGAGAATTGGAAGATAGAGCACGCAAATGTTATGCGGAAGAAACCAGTATCCTTGGCCTTGGCGTTGACTCAGATCAGTTTGTGGAAATGATGCTTCTTGACGGTTTCTTTATCATTGAGTTATTTCGCACGTATACGATGTTCATCATGCTACGTGAAAATCAACAAATTTTCCAATCAGTCCAGTCTGTAGAAGAACTGAGAGATGAAAATTACCATATTTTCCAAGCATTCCAGATTGTGCAACTACTGCTAGCTGAGAATGACCATATTTTCAAATCAGATCAGATTTTGGTTGCCATAAGACGTGATTTAATTCTACTTGAAAATCAACTTCCATTCTTTATCCTTAATCGTTTGTTTGACATGACTAATAGCGATTCAAACTTGGGAATCATTCAAATAGCCTTAGATTTTCAGAAACACTTAACACAACAGAATAAATTACAAGCTCCTAGTGGAATCTCAATCGACAACATCAAACATCTACTTGACCTACTACATAATTGTTGGTGCTCTAAGTTACCTGAGACGAATAGAAATGTAATAATGAGAGAGAAATGGGAGTTCATAAATTCTGCAACAGAACTTCAGGAGGCTGGGGTTCAATTCAAGAAGGCCGAGGGAAGCAACTTGTTTGATATAAAATTCATTAGTGGGACTTTAGAAATTCCACTATTATCCATCACAGACTATACAGAGTCTTTCTTCACAAACCTAGTTGCATTTGAGCTGTGTCCTTCATATCTTAAGCCAAAGTACGTTTGTGACTATATTGTCTTCATGGATCGCCTCATCAATTCCTCCAAGGATGTTCGTTTACTTAATCATAGTGGAATTATTGAAAGTTGGGTGGGTGATGATGCAGAGGTTTACTCCATGTTGCACAAGTTGTTCAACATCACCGTAACAGATCCAGGATTTGGTTACTCTGAAGTTTTCATTAATGTAAACAACCATTGTAAGCAACGCCGAAACGTGTGGATGGCAAACTTAAAGCGGAATTACTTCAACAGTCCATGGGCATTGATTTCATTTTTGGCTGCTACCATACTACTGCTGCTTACCGTGACACAGACTATCTTTTCCATTCTTTCTTTTGGCAAAGGCAGCTTTTGAGTCCCTATTATTGTTTTCTTAATTGTGTGTTAAATTCAAATGAGCAAAGATGTTATATGTTATTTGATTTGTTTCATCGTTTTGTGTCATATGATACATTGTCATGTAAGAGGTGATAAATTATTGTTTTCTTACTCGAGTGTGTTAAATTTAAATAAGCAAAGATTCTATACCTCATTTGTTTTATCATTTTGTACCATATGATACATTTCCATGTAAGAGGTGACAAAATTATTTTTTGCCATATGATACATTGTCGTGTAAGAGAGATGATAATATTGCGAATAAGTAAATAAATAAAGCTTGGATGACATTACAGCAAGTTAGATCAATATCAAACTATCTATAAGAAAGAGAAATATTGCTCTTAATAATAAGATATATTGTATCCAATCAAGTTGATGTATGTAAACTTTATAAAGCAGTTTAGACCTATTTGAATTAGTCAACCAATCTTCTTCAAGCTCATTTTGTTCCTTCCCTAACCACACTCATATTTATAATTTAAGTGCTTTAGGATGACTCGAAAATCAATTCCATAAACCTGAGTTCAGACACCTCTCAGAATTCGTAAAATCGTCACCCTTCTCTTGAGCTATGAAAATCTAAAGAGTTTTTGAAATGTTGACAACTTGAATGGTTACTCAACACATGACACAACAATGTAGTTAGTTCAGAAATCTCTAATTGTTCGTACCAAAGAATTCGACACTCTACGCCCAACTCTAATACTAATTCTTACTGAACTTGAACTTCTAAAATAATTATAGTTCAAATTAAAACAATAAGGATTTAAGTAGATTTTTGTTTAAATAATTGTCAACCTAGTATAGACTCCAAACATTAACAATCTCCCACTTTTGACAATTCCATGACAAAATCTACCCAAGCAAATATGCCCAAAAGCCACAAAACAATGATCATCTTCTTTGGAGCTAGAGAGAAAGCTCAAAGAACATATGTGGATTTCTTCAAACTCTGATCAAATCCAATTCATTCATATTCCATAGATCTAGAATTAAAAATTAAAACCAAATCAAGTAATTAAGAACAATTCTAAGTAATTCCCATTGTAATGCGCCCTAATCAACCACTTTGTCATGTAATCAAAAGTTTTAAACAAACATCTGGTACTATGATGGTGTTTGGGAAGTGAGTTTTTATGTAGATTTTAGTAGATGTAGGTTTTTATGAGATAAAAAATTTTTGGTGTTTGGGAAGATAGTTGGGTTTTTATGTGGTTGGATGTGATGTTTGTGAGAGAAAAAGTGAAATGATTATGGGGTTGGATGTGATATTTTGTTTGGATGTGTTTTTTTTGGTTTTGCAAAACTTTTGTCTTTTAGTGGAAAAAATGAGAAAAAAATTTGGGAACTTGCTTCCCAAACACCACCTATATCACCACTAACAGTAATAATATCTCAGAAAACGATAATGAAAAACTGAAACCGAATATCTATTCAATCACTTGGGATTTAAAATATCCAAAATGCAGATATACAAAAGATATATATCATCAATCGAATCATTTTGTAACAAACGAAGTGTGTTCCGTACACATCTTCAGAATATTATGTGTAAAACCAAGGAGGTGAGACACATTCTATGTTCACCTATATGATTCAGGACGAGAGGTCTCAGTAATGAGATGACATTGATAGCCTTCAGAATCTGCAGTAGTGGAAAATCATGGCATTTAATGTGATGCGAAGAAACAATAAAAACGACACTAAAAACAAAAGAGAAATAGACCAGGTGAAAAAGGACCATATTATTTACTAATCCATGTTACAAAAATACCAGAACTAGACCTAAACATCTGAAGTTTAAACAACCAGGGACTTTAACTAGCAAATAAATTGTAGGGTGTCCTTAAGCTCTTATACAAATTTGTAGAGGAATGTCTCACTAATTTTTTTTTTATTTTTTATTTTTTTATTTTTAAATAAGTTGAAAAATGCTGATTATCTGAAAGTTGAAAATTTTGTATTTTTGTTTTATACTTTTGATTATCAATTTTTAATTTATAATAAATTATACCAAATAAACTCAATAACCGTTGGTTAGACTAGACAAAGGGAGGAAAAAAGAACAGAGAAACATAATTTCCCCAGGCACACAAAAGTAAAGAATTTAGGGCAAACGTGTGAATAAAAGTGGCTGGCGTGCCTGTCCGTTAATCATTTGGTTCATGGGACAACAATGAAAAATATAGAGGATAGGCTTCCCTTCGGTTTATATTAGATTAGAGGATATTGTTTGGTTTATGTGGGCCTGTGACGGTATTCGTATTGATGATTTGAACTATTCAATGTGTAGGATTCGTCAAATATTTTATTTTTATAAAAAAGCTCACGTTGATCAGATATCGACAACTAATTGCTCAGATCACATTTGTTAAAATAATAAATATGATTTTAAAAATAAATTATTGACCCAAATGTGATTTGATCAAGTGGCTGTCGAAATTTAATCAACGTAATTTTTTGCATGGTTAAAATACTCGATGAGACCTATACATTTCACATTTCAGATTATCGATGCGAGTTCCATGATGAGCCCACAGAAATCCAACTGTACCCTTCATTTGATTTTCCCAATTGGAGAGACGATTGTCCCAAAATATGTTCTCTATTTTTTTTTTTTTTTTTTTTGATCAGCAAAAAGAAGACTTTATTGATGGAATAAAACCAGTACATAGTACAAAGTGAATTATATCAACAAAGACAAGAGGGAGGTGCAAAGGCATCACAATGGGCTAGATCATCCCAACGAGGTTGGCACCAACTAGCTCATCCTATCATTTGCTAGCACCCCCAGAGTTGGTGAGAGACCAACGAGAAACGACCAAAATAAAAAAGGACACTGCAAGCACCCAATCCCAGCATTACACTCTCGAACCTCTCTCTATTATCACCACTATTAACAGAGCTCCTTAAGCAACCAACAGAATTTTTGTTCTACCTGAAATAATCCCAGGACTCACACACCAATTCAGACCATCACATTCCTTGAGTTGGCATAAGAAAGCCTATTGCAGGACATAACAGCCATCCATACCCATCCACCTGCAGGACCACTCCCCAACTTACCCAAGACGGGCACACAACAACCAACCAACCAGAGCATACAGAGCACCACTAAGTTGCTAGCAGTAAGCACCAGCAGTTAACAACATACAATAATAGAACAAAAGAGACAGCAGACAAGAAACCCCAGGCAAACCATAATATACTTGATCAAAGCAGCACCAGGCAAAACCATACCATTTCAGGCCACCAGCAGCAGCCATCATAATAGAACAGAACAGACCCTTTAGATAATCCAACCTTACATTCTCCTACCCAAACAAAATCTGATTTGCTCCAAGTTATGCAGAAAATTAGTAACAGAAAAAAGAAGATCCGTGGACATGGATTTTAACCAAATTGCAAGCCTAACAATGATAACTTCAAGAAGATCTTCCATGTTAGGTTGAGTATCTTGGAAGATGCACTCGTTCCGGTGCTTCCAAATGGACCAGAGAGCCACCAAGGGGATAGTATTCCAAATTATTTTTTCAACTTTCATGACCTTGCTTCCAGCCCACCACTGCAGTAAGCCATCAACAGTTTGAGGCACTACCCAAAGGGCTCCCCACCATTGCAGGAGACCAGTCCAGACTCTCCAGATCGAAGGGCACCAGATAAGCACATGTTCAACTATTTCTTGTTCAGCTTTGCAGAAAATACATACAGTGGCAGCACTATCCTCCATCACACCAATTCTGTGCAAGAACACTGAAGTTTTTACCTTATGCTTCCATGCAAGCCATCCAAAAAATTGAACTTTAGGTAGAAGGTACTTGATCCACAAAAATCTGCTAGAGTTATTGACTTCACCATGCTCAAAATCAGTATGCTTGTATAAGGTTGAGACAAAAGATTGACTAGATTTGGAAGCTAACCACAAAACTCTGTCTTTCACAAGCAGATTCAAGACAGGACCAGGTCTGGTATAGGGGTTCAGATTGAGGAGCTCTTCTTGTTCCCATTGAAATAAGGCCCTTCTAAAGCTAATCACCCAATTTTCAGAGTTACCCCTTTTATCAGCATAATCCCTGAGAGTCCCATCCTTCTCATTTGACAACCTGAACAATCTAGGGAATAATTCTTTGAGGCTAACTCCAGCTCCACCAGTCCAGCAATCATGCCAGAAGGAAACTCTACAACCATTACCCACTCTAATCTGAAGGTTATTAATATAAAATTGCAGAAGACTGACTTTTTGATTTGCTGCCACCAATATATCACCCCAAATCTTGGATACTCTAACTCCTGAATGAATATCTGGACGCCAATTTCCACCTTCAACTTTGTATTTGCAGACTAACACTTGCTTCCACAGAGCTTGTTCCTCATTGGCATACCTCCACCACCACTTCATTAATAAACAAACATTCATGTCTCTGATTCTTCTAACACCCAATCCCCCTTGCTTAGTACTTTTAGTTACCTCATCCCATCTCACTAGATGAACTTTTCTCTGAAGTTCAGCTCCACCCCACAGAAATGAGGTTTGTAACTTTTTAATTTCTTTTGCTATCCTTTCTGGAATTTTGAACAGAGAGAGATGGTAGACCGGCAGACTAGATAACACTGATTTAATTAGTGTTAATCTTCCTGCAAAGGAGAGAAATCTCCTCTTCCAACCAGCAAGCCTGTGCTTTATCCTGTCCAAGACAGGCTTCCAGATCACCTTTCTATGGGGGCTTGCTCCCAATGGCAACCCCAGATACTTGATTGGTGCTGACTTAACTTTACAGTTTAACATACCTGCAAACTCATGGAGCACAGATTCAGAGATACCAAACCCACAAATTACACTTTTGTGGTAATTTATTTTAAGCCCTGAAACAATTTCAAAACACCTAAGGATCCTTTTTAAATTAAGCACTTCTGACCATACAGCATCACAAAACAACAACGAATCATCTGCAAATTGAAGATGTGACACAACCACATTATTATCACCAAAAACTACTCCTTTTAGCAGCCCCAACTCCCTAGCTCTCATCAGTAAAATGTTCAATCCTTCTGCAGCCAAGTTGAATAGGAAGGGGGATAGTGGGTCCCCTTGTTTGAGACCTTTTTCAGGACTAAACTCCTTAGTTGGTGAGCCATTAACGAGGATGGAGATTCTAGCTGAAGAGAGACAACTTTTTATCCAAGAGATCCACTTCGCTCCAAAGCCAAAGCTAGATAGCATTGAGAATAGGAATTCCCAGTTGAGTGAATCATAAGCCTTCTCAAAATCAATCTTGAGAATTAGTCCTTTTCTCTTAGTTTTTTTCCACCCATCCACTATTTCATTTGCAATCAAAACCCCATCGAGTATGTTTCTACCTCCTAGGAATGCTGATTGTGCTTCACCAATTACATCTGCCATGACTTTTTTTAGTCTACTAGCAAGAACCTTGGAAAGTATTTTATACACTGACCCTATAAGACTAATGGGTCTAAACTCACTTAAGTTGGCTGCATCAATTTTCTTAGGTATAAGGGTGATGAAAGAACTGTTAAAGCCACTAGCCAATCTGCCCCTGACATGAAAATCTGCGAAAAAGAGCATCATATCTTCTTTGAGCACCTTCCAGAATTTCTAAAAAAAATAGCAAGTTGAAACCATCTGGCCCCGGAGCTTTGTTGCCATTACAGTCTTTGACAGCTTCCCAAACCTCCTCTACTGAAAATTCTGACTCTAGTATATGAAATGAATCACTTTGCCTCACACTTTTAAACTCCCTACCTATTACAGGTCTAAGTCTCCACTCTTCTGAAAACTGGTTTGTAAAATGTGACCATACCTCAATTTTGACCGGATTTGGTTCCTCAATTGCCACCTCCCCTACAACAATGGAGTTGAGGGCATTTCTATTTTGTCTACTAGTAGCCATGACATGAAAATATCTTGTGTTCCTATCCCCTTTCATATTCCAGTCGAGCCTTGACTTTTGAAGCCATTCCCATTCCAGCATTCTACTTAATCTCCACATCTCATTCCTTGCCTCACTTTTTTGTTTGATTTCAGCATCCTCCAGAGGTCTTACCTCAGCCCTCAAATCAAGTGCATTCAGTTCATCTTCTGATGCTTTTAGTTGAGCTGCAGTATTACCATATACTTCTTTATTCCATTGTTTTAGTACCATCTTTAAAGCTTGTAATTTCCTTAGCAGAGTGACCCCAGCAGTCCCTTGAATCTGTAACTCCTTCCATGTATTCTCCACAAAAGATGTAAATTGTGAGTGCAATAACCAGGCATTTAAGAATTTGAAAGGTTTAGGACCCCAGTCCCTCTCATCTTCCATAAGCACTATCGGGCAATGATCTGAAACCAACCTAGGCAGTCCCCACAGTTTATATCTATATCTTTCAATCCACTCAGGGCTAAGAAGGAATCTATCAATTCTACTCCATTTGTGACCATCATGAGCATTACACCAAGTAAATTTTCTCCCTACCATGTGCAGATCATTCACCTCACATCTATCTATGAACTCATTAAACTCTTTCATGCCCCTATCCCTCCTTGAGCTTCCTATTTTTTCCCCCAAATTTCTGATCTCATTGAGATCACCACCAAGACACCATGGTTTTGGGAAAATGGACTTTAAATACAACAAGGACTCCCATAACTTACCTCTCCTCGTAATATATTCTCTATTGATTATGGTCCATAATGATTTGAGTAAAGAGAGTTAATGGCTAATCCAATAAAATTATGTAAATGATATAATAAAATCGTGAGCAATATTATGGTACATTTCTTTCACCAAAATTGAGTGGTGTGGTCAAGATTGATCCTGACTTTTTGAAAGCTCAAGGCAAACTTAAAAAATAAAAGCCCAGCTCTAACTTTTCAACAAAATATGAAGGTCCGGCTCTCACCCACAGACACACACAAACACACAAAAACAAAAACCCACACACATAGAAATAGAGTTTAATCTTTATAATAAAATAGGTTTTAATTTTTTAATTTTATCAATCTAAACAATGATTTTGACTATTATTTAAAATCCTAGTCCTCATCAAGAAGGATTTAAACGAGAAGAGAGTGTTTAATTAACACAACATTGTTTCTTTCTTTTCATGATAGTCATTTTTTTTTAATAATAATATTCAATACTCCTAATACCATCATACTGCGAATCTTATAACTGAAAAAGAAAGATATATCTTGAAATTCAATACACATCTTTTGTATGAAGAACAAAAATAAACAAAAATAAATTATTCCATCAAAAGAAACAAAACTAAGTCTATAAAAGGCAAAAACATTTATAACAAAAAGGATTTAAAATTTTCCTATAGCATTCATGATAGTCATTTCAATGGTGAAACATTTATGCCACATGCATGTTCTGTTCTTGATTTATGTTTGCAAAAACAATTGACAGCCTTGTGTGATTTGAGATTTTGATTTCCATCCAAACAAGAGCGGTGCGCTTGATCAAACTTATAATTCAAACACATGTTTGTGAGCAAGGATTCTCTCCTTAAATCCTCTCATTGACTTCCTACTTGATAGGTTATTGTGCTCACTTTTAGATCTAATTTAATGATCTGAACTATTTACATTTTAGGATTTGTCATGTACATCATACCTATAAAAAATCAAATCGATCAAATATCAAAAATCACGTGAACTAAAAGTTTTATTAAACAATAAAACTGTTTATTAAATTTTTTTTAATAAACAATTTTTAGTTGTTTCGATATTCGATCAATTTAATTTTTTACAGATATGATATATATGACAAATTCTAAAATGTAAACGGTTTGAATTATTGAAATTGGACTTAAAAATAGACCCAATAACCTATCAAATAAGGAGTTAATGAGAGAACTTGCTCTCTCTCTCTCTAAACCTCCACCCCCGGGCCTCACTTTTGGTCGGCTGACCGCCGCCTTTGGCTATGGCGGTCGGCTGGCCCAGCTCTCTTTCGTGTTTGTGTGCTGGTTTCTACTTTCAATAAACTTGATTCCCACAATTTCTTCCCACTTTGGTGTCCTTTTTTTGTGTTTTCAGGGGGGCTTCGGCTTTTTTTTTTGTTGTTGTCTGTTTCTGTGTCCACCTTGGGGTTTAAGGGACAAAACAGAGTAGAAAAAGGTCGGGTTTGGACCGGTATAGAGGTTGGCCAGATCTGGATGGATCTTCATTTGGGCGCTCTTTTGTTAGTGGGAGTTTGAGGGATGAGCTTGGTTTCGGATCTATGGAGTTGCTTCGGTGCTTTGTTTGGAGGAAACAAGGGTGTTGTAGTTGATCTAGATCTGTCTAAGATTTCATTCGAGCGCTCCTTTTCGAGTGGGAGTTTGAGGGGTGAGCTTCATCCAGATGTATGGTTTTGTCTCGGCGGTTGTTCGATGTTTTGGGTTGTCAACACCAAGGCTATTGCATTGGGCGTGTTCGGAGTTTGGAGCCGGAAAGCTGTGCCCGATCATGGAAGTGGAGATGGCAGTGGGTCTTGTTGTCATGAGTGTTGATCGGCCTTGGGTATATTCGAAGTGCTCGGAGTTTTGAATCAGTATAGAAGTTCAGACCGTGGAAATGGGTTTTGGCTGTGTTCAGATGGGTGGCTATGATGTTTTCCAGCCAGAGAAACTCTTCGGTAGGAGCAGAGAAGTGTGCAGCAGGTAGGTAATCAAGCTGGTAGCTATGGTGATCAAGCTGGTAGGAGCGTGCAGCAACAGGAGTTTTGAAAAGCTTTAGCAGTAGTAGCAGGTGGCTATGGAGTGGGTGTAGCAGGTTTTCAGTGGGGGTAGCTATGGTGATCAAGCTGTGTTCAGTGGGTGTAGCATGTTTTCCAGCCATGGAGATGTTGGCTATGGAGTCTTTCGGCCAGGGAAGCATGCAGCAGATAGGTGAAAAGATGTTCCAGTAGGAGCAGGTGGGCATTGGTCGTTGGAAGTTGTTAGGTGGGCGTTGGGAGTTGAAGCAGGCGAAAAGTTCAGATTCAAAAATTAGCTACTGGGCGGTAAAGATTTAGTTTTATGAATAGCAAGTGGGAGTTAAAATAGCAGAGGCATAGTGATTAAAAATTTTCAGGAGCTGTAGCAATAGCATAGGCGTTCGGGAGTTGCAGCATTAGCAGAGGCATGGTGATTAAAATATTGGGTTGTTGATATTGATGATTTAAAATCATGAGGCTTGCAGATTAGGTGATTAAAATATTGGGTTGATTTTGGGTTGATTAGAGGATTTGCAAGAGCTGTTTAGGGGGTTTGGTGGGTTGATTTTGTGGGGTTTCATGTATTTTATTTTCTAGTTAAGTCATTCTTAACTTTTTATTTAAAATTCGAGAGGCCAAGGGGTTGGTTGTATGGATGCGAGTAGCAGTAGTAGGAGTATTTTTGTACTTCCAAATCTCTCTCGATACATGTCATCTTCCTGTATCTTTAATTTCATGCTGTTAATGAAATTTTTCTTTACTGATAAAAAAAAAAAAAAAGGAGTTAAGGAGAGGATCTTACTCCATGTTTGTGGCGAAAAGGGAAATGGCGCAAAGGTTCTTTCTTACGTATGTAGAGTGTGGAACTCAAGATTAACTAAACAAATGTAATAAACTACTCTACTGATGAACAGTGAAAGTTTACCAATCTAAATAGCGTAAAACTTACAACTATCGTAAAAAAAATAAATAATTAAAAAAAACAAAAAAAAAATTATAAACTACGAAAATTAAGAAATGCAAACGATAATGGCACTACGCCGGATTGAAATGCAAAAATATAGAGCTATATTGTTAGTGCTGGGACCTTTACCTGTTGTGTCTTTACAGCAGTCTACCACGTGGCCCATATTGATCCTAGTACTCCATTATAGGGCACGGTTTTTCTGCAATCTATTATGCTCTGGTGGCTTACGGCGTTGATGTGGTCCAATGACAAACTTTCGCATGTTTTTAAGTTGGATAAACAAATCAAAAATGCTTTAGAGCTTTAATATAAGAGCTTTAATAGCTCTAATAGGAAGGTAAGACCCACCCTGATGTGATGTTTGTGTCTTATTTTGTTTTTTTTTTTTTTTTTTTTTTTTTTTGATTTTTTTTTTTTTTTTTTTTTTATTTTGACACATCACTAGAGCTCAAATTAGAGCTCTAGATTTAGAGCTCTATAACATTTTCCTAAACAAATAACGGAGATGATGCTGTTCTTTACTTTACTCTGTTTGTTTTTTCCCCTGTCCCACATCATGATGTTCTCTTTTTTCCTCTCTCCTCCCTCCTCTCTCTCATCTGTCCTTTTTTAAAAAAGAAAACAGAGATCTCGTTACATTTCACCATTGCTACCTTCTCCTTTCTTAATCTCTTACTGTCTCTCTCCTAAGAACAACCACCATCAACACCAACCTTACTGTTTGCCCATCGCTATTACACCCAAAAACTCAATGAATTCTTCATCACTACCACAACTGACTCCATATCCACCACCACCACCACCATCTCCCCCTCCCCTATTCATATCAAGACCAACAAACAGTTCACAACTCACAACACTACCTTTTTTATTTCACCCGTCAAATCTCTTTGGTGGGATATTTGGAACAATTTTGCAATTTTTTTTTCTAATTTTTTTCTGCAAATTTTGCAATTTGTAATTCATATTATTTTTCTGCAAATTTTGCAATTTGTAATTCATATTAGACATTGTTAGAATGGAAGATTGTACAGTTTTCTATTATTGTTATCAACCAAAAAAAAAAAAAAAAAAAAAAAAAAAGAGAGAACTTGAGAACAACAAAATAATTTCTTCCCATGACTGATATTGTAAGTTTGTAACTCTAAATTTGAAAGAAACAGTGCTTTGGTGTTCAATTGGAAACAGTGCTACAAAATCGATCCGTGATAGATCCGCTGTAGGATCTTGTTCTCATGACTGACTTTGTAAAAAATTAATGGAGGGAGGAGATAGAAGGAAGAAGCAGAAAGAGAATAAAAAATAAATAAGAGAAACAGAGAAGAGCGAGAGTGGAACAGTAAATGACGAGAGAGGATACAGAATAAAAAGGTAAGATAACGCCAACTCTCCATCAGTTTTACAGTATTCAAGAAACATATGTCACGTTTTCATTACACCAATAAGCGACTGGAGCTTCAATGACAGTAGCAAAAGAGAAGTTGTCGGTTGGTCCTAGGGTACTGGATGGCTATGTGTGTTTTGATTGGTGGAGAGTGTAAAATTTAAAATTTTGTATTTTGTAATTAGAAAATATAAGGGAGCATATGATATGATTTTGTGATGGCTATAAGTATGACCACATAGTACTCTTAAGACTAACCAATAATTTTTCGTAGCAAAACCACTC